CACATAACACGGTAAGCATAAATGCTTAGTGAGTTCCCCAAAATACCATATACAACACGTAAGCCACTCGAGGCTATAACTTGGTATGACCCTCCGGCCAATGTGTCTCAACGGGACCCTCCAGTCCTGTAGCTCATTGGATCCTCCGGTCCAGTCTGTATCATTGGACCCTCCCATTCGAGTCTATATCATTGGACCCTCCGGTCCGGTCTATATCGTTGGACCTTATGGTCTGGTGTATATAACACATAGCATATAAATAACGCAATGCACATAAATCTCAAACATACATATACACATAAGACCCTTCGGTCTGCACATAGATACCACTCTAGGTTACGAATAGTGAGAAGACTCACCTTGGGTAATTTTGAAAAGTCTCAAACTCGAAATATTGATCTAGCCTCCACCTAATCACATAAACTAATTCACCTCCCATTAACAACGATTCTCAAAGGCTAGTCTAATCCCTTCCTATAATCTCTCAGAAGGGGAAAATACCATTTTACCCCTCTAATGGTCCGAATGTCCAATTGTTGACCAAACCCTAAAAGTTAAGGAAAATCAACTCCGGTCAATGGTCTCGCCTTGACCAAACTTGTCGAGTGCACTTGAGTGACTCGGCGAGTCCATGCGTATCCTCTGAATCCTCCTAAGTCCTTACTCGACTTGTCGAGTTAACCTTTCACTCAACGGGTTACCAATGATCACGTATCACGGGGTAACTCGATCCGACTCGTCGAGTCCTCTTATGGACTCGGCGAGTTTCCTCCATGGCCACACTCATTTGACCTTCTGAGGTCAGATTTGTTTCTCTAACTTATAGATCTGGCCTTCTAGCACCCAAAAGTCATGTAAAGGTTCAATATTTACGTCCATGCACCACACATCAAGCTCTATTTGAAGAAATAACCCTTAAAATGACAACATAGACTCAAAACCCCAATGGGACTGCATAAAGTTGGATGATTGGGACTCTCTGGACCTCTCAAGGTCCAGATCTAATGTCTATTCCACAATGGGACTCCACATGCTCCATATTCCAACTAAAGAAGGGGTAAAGAAACCCTAGATTCATGAGATCTACTTTATACACGAAAATAGCCATGGATTCATACCTCAAACAACAACCTTTGATGAAATGATAGAAGATCTGAGCTCCTCAATCAGCCTAGCTTGAACCCCCTTCTTCTTCCTTGCAAGAATGCTCTAAGGTGAAGAAATTAGCTCCCACTCTGTCTCTCAAGGGTATGAGTGGCCGCAAATAAAGGCCATAAGGACTCTTAAATAGGGCACAGGCCCAAGGATTTAGGGTTTCTATCCACAACACGGACTCATCGAGTCGACTCTCCAACTCGTCGACTCCATTCATTAATCCGAGTCATCAATCACTATCCTACTCGACGAGTTTAGGCGTCAACTCGTCGAGTCCCTCTTCTCATCTCAAAACAAATACTTAAATTATGATACCCGGAAATCCTGATGTTACACAGTTGGTCAATAATGGCGTGCCCGACTTACCCATGTCAAGCCATTCTGGGGTGCTGACCTACCCATGTCAAGCCATTCTGAGGTGCTGACCTACCCGTGTCAGGCCGTTCTAGGGTGTCTGCTTACCCTCCGGTCACGGGGACTATTTCACCCCTACCACTATCACATAATAACATATCATAATCCTGCTATCAGACATACCTAGGGTGTCTGACTGACCCTTTAGTCCTAAGGACCGAATCATGGGACTATTCCCCTCTTACTACCACTATCACATATAGCATATCATGATGGAACATAGAACACATCAAGTAGTAGCAAACCAGACAATTATCACAAAGATAATAATCTAAACTATAATCAGCTACTAGTGGGTCGGCCTTGGTGCCTGAGACCCACTTCGACTGTAAGATAACTCACCTTGATGTGGTGTAGTGTCTGCACTGTCCTCAATGTGAAAATCGACTCTTCTCAACTCCTTAATCCATACACAACATCCTTTCTACATTACCATTTTATACTCATAACCCTTACAAGGGTCACTAAATTCCAAGTCAAATTCAAAGTCAAATCCCTAGTCAAAGTCAACATCTGTTTGACCAGACTCACCGAGTTGGTTCACCAACTCATCAATTCCCCTCGTCCACAAAAGCTACTACTTCGTCCCTACTTGTCAAGTCTAGCAGGAGCCACTACTAGAAAAACAACCTTTTACGACGCGCAATTTATGATACGCATTGATTCACGATACGCAAACGAGTGTGATCTAAAAAAAATGTCATCTCTCTATAAATTTTAAGGATTTAGGGCGCGCATTTTTGCTTACCCTTAAATTAGTGTCTAAAAAAAACACGGAGGGTGCCTATAATAAAACGTGTGCCGTCTGAGGATGTCGCTTTATAAATTTTAATGGAAACGCGCCTTCCATCCTTTAGTAGCTGAGGGGGAAAATGAAATCCTAAAAAATTAAAATCCCCTCCTTCCTTTTTGTTCCTTTCCCTCTTGCCCTAATTATCACGCTCCTTCCTTCCCCCTGCCGACATTGACTGCCACCTACTTCTTCCCTCACACTTCGACCAATGTTACTTGCCATTCCCGATCGTCGACGTCGATCAAGGAAAGCACGCCACCAGCCGAAAACCTTCAATCTCTCCTTCTCATTTTCTCTGTAACCCTAATCTATATATGGTTTCCAGTCGTTTCCTTAAAGGAAACAGATTTGATCCAATCGTTTCCCCAGAGGAAACAGATTTGAACCCTCTTGAAGGAAGATCCGGGCCCATTTATGTGATTGAATCCCTTCGTATGTGTTCGATCCAGAGATTTTAGGGTTCTTTGAGGCGACCTAAACCCAGCAGCTCGTATCGGGAGAAGGTATTGCTGGTAAAGCGTTGGGTACAAACCAGCAGTTCGCAGGTTGTCCATCATCAGCCACACACCGTGTTTTATAGGCCACAAAGACTTGGAGTAGATGAAATTGAAATCGAAATTGGTATTATCTAGATGAATCGATATCGATTTGACTCCAAATTGCAGTCAATCGAAGGATTATTTGGTAAGGTGCACTCCTCTGTATTGTAAAAATTGCTCTTCTTTCTCCTTTATTCATGCCTCTGATTTCGATTTTGATTCTTCTTGTATTTTCCTCTGTAAAACCCTAACTGGAAAAGCGATATCTAGATTTCCCATTCTTTCTCGTTCCTATATCCCTTTGGCACTTACCGATTCTTCTCCCTTCCTCGAGACAAACGTCGGTCACCTAAACTCAAATCCTCTAAGGATACCTGCTCTGATTCATTCCCAAAAATCAAAAAATCTCGTTGTCTATCCCACAGTTTATCAATTCAGAATTTTGGGAGACAGAATCGTGCCTCATTTGTGGTTCGTGGCCTACACTACTGCTTCACCGCCCTGCTCCACTCTAATTTGCCCTAGCTTTTCCATCCTCTACCACCTCCTTCATATGGTTATGTTTATGAATGTATGTTATTCTTGATTCAACACATTCTATGGCAGCTAAATGCAATTTTAACCTATATAGTTTTGAAGGAATACAATTTTGGAGGTTATTGAAATATTTACATTTTTTTGTAAAATTTTACATTTTCTGATAGGGATTTTTATATGGGTTTGGTTTCTTGAAGGTTTTCATGGTTCCATGGCTCCCATTATTTATGTTATTCGATCATTACAACTTGTTTAAAAAGATCAAGATTATAACAGGTGCTATTTCTTTTTGAGGGCTGTTTCTTTTGGGACTGTTTACAAGGGCTATATTGATAAGAACGTTCGGGTTGGTCTCAAATCTCTTCCTGTTGCTGTTAAGGTTCTCAAAAAGGAGGGTCTTCAAGGCCACAAATAATGGCTTGGAAGCTCCTCTAGTTCTATGTCAATGCAGCAACTAATTCTTTATTTTGTTTTATCTTCCTTATACCATTAATCCATATATGTAATGGCGTTTTGTGTTGTAGACTAGAGTTAATTTCCTTGTTCAGGTCAAACATCCCAGTTTGGTGAAATTGATTGGGTATTGCTGTGAAGATGACCACATATTGCTTGTTTATGAGTTCATGTTTCGAGGAAGCCTTGAAAATCACCTCTTTCGAAGTATGCAGCTTCGTACCATATATATATATATCCTTTTTTTCTTTATGTCAAACGTCTCAAACCCCCCTTTTTCCCAACTTCAATACTCTACATAACAAATAGTATATGACATCTTCAGCCATGATAGTTGTAATACCAGCTGGTGTATATGAGGTAAAATAGTGTTCTTGTGTTTTCATAAATCTGAAGATCATAAGAAGAACATCAGAAAGGTATGTGAGTCTTACAAGACTTTTTTGGTGCTATTAATTATTTTCAACTATGATATATATATATATATATATATATATATATATATATATATATATATATATATATATATATATATATATATATATATATATATATATGATCATCTAAAATGTTAAGACTATGTTTAATGTGAGTTGCTACCTGTATATGCACTATATGCTCACCCTAATACATTGGCTTTTTTTAAATTTAACATTTTGTGCTATTGACTATTAACTTTCATCTTTTTGTCAATTTTGTGCTCGTTAAAGCGATTTGTTCTTAATGATTTCTGGATTAATTGAGGTTAGTGGTAATAAGTGATTTTTTCTTAATGATTTCTGGATTAATTCAGATTATAACAATACCTTAATGATAATAAAATTCTATGATATTTACGTTGTCTTGTTGATTTAATTTACTATTGGAACTAATCAAAGTATTTTTGCATGTGTTTTTCAACAATGAAGTCAGAAGAAAAGTCTAAGATCACCAATACAATGAACTCGTGAGTGTCGCATGTAAGAAACACTATTTATTTTTTATTTATTTCTTACAATAATAATTAATCTCATCTCTTTACAGGTGGATAAACATTGATCAATTATGTCTCATCTCTTTATAGGTGGCCCATTTTCTTTTACTTACAAAGCTTTCTAAGACTAATCCATATGACAAGGGCAATTATGTCCTCTGCACATACAAAAGATCAAAGTTTTGGTGTGATTCAAGTGTTTTTGGGGTTACAGGTGCATGAGATGCTATCACAGATGAACCCCACATTGGTGAGTTAGTGTGAAAAAAATAGCTGAAAAAGGGGGTCCACTCACTCTGCCTAAAGAAATTGGTGGATCTATTCATGTTGCTCAGATAGAAACAACGACCATGACAAGTGAAAGTGCTCGTCTAAGGAATGTCCATACTTGTAATTTTTCCTTAAAAAAATATATATTATCTTTCCTTAAAAAAATAAAAATAAACACTGTGATGCGTTAAAAAAAATATCTTCTGTAATCCTTGACACTTAAGAACCTATATATGTATTACTTCCATACTTGTAATTTTTTTTCAATGACTTCTTTCTCTTTTGTATCAGGTAATGAGTGAAAAAAAACTTGCAAGATGAAAACACAGAACCTGCACCTATGCTTATATCATTAGTGTTACAGAACTATAGGGGACACGTGGACCATTGGGTTGAGTCATATCAGGTATATGCAATCCTACACCTATGCTTATATTATTAGTCTTTTTTTGCTTTTCGTCAAGGGGATGACTCTAATCAGGTGTAATTCCATTCAAGGAAGCTCAAATATCTTTAAAAATATGAATGAAAAAGATATCGTTTCATGGAACACCATGATTTCGTCCTTTGTCTAGAATGGAATGGATGATGAAGCGTTAAAACTTGTTTGTGTTTTTCTCAAAGTTGCTACCTTGTTTCTATTTTCTTACTTTGTATATGTTCTTATAGGTACCTGTTCTTGCACTAAAGGAACATATTGCTTCTGTTACTGTTGTATTGTCTGAACAGCAACGTTTAATCTATCGTGGCAAAGTTCTAAAAGATGATCAGCTCCTTTCAGCTTATCGTATCCTTTTCCACATCTTACATTTGGTGATGCCTAGTGGTGATCTATCAGAAAAGCTAAAGAATTTGTGCTCTTTTTTTTCTTGTTATTGTTAGACGATTGGATTATGAATAGATTCAACAAATGAGTCACTATCAACTAACTGTACCGGTTCTGCAAAATGTGAAGGAGTGATCTACACTTTCTATACAATAGGATTGCAATCCAAGTATCCAAAAGTGTGTAATTCATTCAAACCCAAAATAATCACAAGATTTATAAAACTTTATAAAGCCATAAGTAAATTACCTAACTCTGATTCCATTTGTGTCATTTCCAGTTTTACATGGTAAAGTGGTGCATAAAGTGGGTGTTGTATCTATAGGTGTTGGAGGCTTAAAGCTTACTGAATACCTTAAAGAGCAACTTCGTCTAAGAGATCTACATGTTTCTTCATTATACACTGTTCGCTCATTGAAAGAGGTAATCTTTTATCCACTTTAATATCTATAAACTTATGCCCTTGAATTATTTTTATATAATTTCCAATTTTACCTTTTTGGTCTCAGAAATACAACGGGTCTACATCAGGCAGTGGCAGATTCCACTAAGTGTTGCTATGTTGCCAAAATGAGAACCGATCATACTTGGTTCAGGACAGTTGTGCTGGCTGGAGGCACTGGATGTTTACCAGGGTTACCAGGTATAAATTAATTTATAAATATAAATGTTTTTAATTTTTAATATAATATTAATTTATAAATGCTTCATGTTTTAATTAATTGTAGAAAGATTAGAAAAGGAAGTACATTATCTTCTACCTCCCTCTAGGATGTCAGATATAAATGATATTATTTATCTTTTTTTCTTTTTTTTTTTAACTAAAAGTACACTAAACATTAATGTGTTAGTTGTTTGTACTTTGTTAGTATCATTCATATAATGAGCCTCACAATACTTTTGAGAAAGTCTGAGATATTGGAAGGGCTATTGCTTATGACCTGTTTCTAAAGGTAACTTGTTGCACTTAACACATTCTAATAAATATATATTAGGCTGTTTTTGGGGGTTATTTCTTTTCTAATGCTATCATGCTTATTGGCTGCCTATTGTGATGAATAGGGTGAAACCGAACTTGGCTGCCTTTTATGCATTCAATATGTTCTTGTTATATATATAAACATTAAATATTTGTTGTTTTTTCAAGTTTTTGGCAGATATACAAGTTGATGACGAGAACATTGTTCCATGACCTTCAGTGAGTTATGATGATGTCCCTTAATAGCAATGCAATATTAGGTTATATAATTAGGGATGATTATTTGTATTTGACATGTTAGTCCAATGAATTATCTTTCTTATTTATTGTATTTTATTTTGTATTTTGTATGACATTAAATTTTGTGCAATGGATTGTATTTTATGTAAATGGTATTTTATTTTCTATTATGATACATGAAATGCAAATTTAATTTGAAAATTAGTAAATCTATAAATTATGATATTTTTTTTAACATTTAAAATTACGATACGCAAAAATGTGTGTCATCTTCATTTATGACATGGCCTTTCTTGACAATGGCTTTCTTGATACGCATTGCGTGTCATTAACACGCGCGTCGTAAGGTTACGACACACGAATGCACGTCGTCTTCCTTTATGACATGGCCTTCCTTGATACGCAATGCGTGTCGTAAAAGCGCATCGTAATTGCGCGTCGTAAATGAGCGTCGTAAATGCGCGTCGTCTCTCTTTATGACAGGGCCTTCCTTGACGCGCATTTGCGCGTCGTCTTAGCCTTTTACGACGCGCAATGAGCGTCATAAAAGGCTGTTTTTCTAGTAGTGAGCGCGATGAGTTCGCCTTCAACAACACATCGGACATTCTTCAACCGACTCGTCGAGTTCATCCTGGAACTCATCGAGTTTATCTTCATCTGAATGATTTCAGTTTATGACTTGCCGAGTTCCCCTTGAACTCATCGAGTCCGTCTTCATATGGTTGGAACATTTCCTTGAACTCGCCAAGTTATCTCATACACTCGCCGAGTTCTATGATTTCCAGGTGCCTAATGAGCCTAACAACTGAGGGACATTCAATCTTAGCATCTGATCAACAGAAGGAATTTAATAGAAAATACGTCCCGACTCGGCGAGTCCCATGAACGACTCGCCAAGTCCCTCTTTGTCCCAAACTATACAGTCAATTTTAATCGGTATAAATACACCCAAACCATAGATCTAACCTCCCATGGTCCATATTATACATAAAGTTACGAACTTGATGTCCATGCATGGGGTTTTTTGGCTTAAAAGGCAATAAAAAGGGGTTTATATGTTGCATGGGTCTCCCATGGCCATAAATTTGGCACCTTTATGTCATGAGAACACTCAATGGTTCCAAATATGAAGTGCAACTCCAAATATACACACAAATCTGAGTATAACTTCACTAAAGCTTGGGAAAAGGTTGAAATAGCCCCAAATCAAGATCTAAGTAATGAATAGCTAAGGTATCAACTTTATACCTCAAATGAGCAGGATATGTGCCAAAACTTCTGGATTTACTTGCTCTCTCCTGATCTCCCAAGCTTCCTTCTCCTTTTCCAACTTCAAATACACACAAAAGGCACCAAAAATCTCAAGAACGATCAATAAAGGCTTAGGGTTTCGAGTTACGGTTTCTCTGGTTTAGGAGGGACGATGGAGGATGGTTTGGGATGAGATGAGTCATTTAAATAGGGTGCATACCCTAAATACTAGGGTTTCATCCAGACAGTTTCTACTCGTCGAGTCGGTCCCCCGACTCATCGAGTAGATCAATAAAGTTCACGAATAATGTCGAGTCTACTAGATGAGTTGGGCCTTCAACTCACCGAGTCCCAGAGTAAAGTACAAATTATTTGAATTTAAATACATACCAGGGACTGGGTGTTACAAGAGGTTTACATGAGTCAGCCAGAGGGTTTTGTCGATGCAAAGTTCCCTAATAGAAAGTGTAAGCTTGAGAAATCCATTATGGATTGCAACAAGCATCTCGTAGATGGAATCTTTGTTTTGATGAGAAAGTTAAAGAGTTCGGATTTTCAAGGAGCAAGGATGAGTCATGTGTATATGTAAAAGCTAGTGGGAGCATAGCTAGCTTTCTAGTATTGTATGTGGATGGCATACTACTCATAGGAAATCACATCCCAACCTTGCAGGAGTTTAAGTCCTGGCTTGGGAAGTGTTTTGCTATGAAGGACCTTGGAGAGGCTGCCTATACTCTTTGGGTAAGGATATTGAGAGACAGGAGTAAGAGACTAATTGGACTTAGTCAAAGTACCTACTTGGATAAAGTTTTGAAAAGATTCAGCATGCAGGATTCCAAGAAAGGTGACTTACCGATCCAGAGCAATACTAAACTAAGTAAAACTCATAGTTCGAGTACAAAGGTTGGGATAGTTGAGATGAGTCGAATACCATATGCTTCCGTTGTTGGATCGATCATGTATGCTATGACTTTTACTCGCCTTGATGTGGCCTTTGCTTTGAGCATGGTCAATAGATATCAAGGGAATCTTGGCAAGACTCAATGGACTGCGGTAAAGAGCATTCTTAAATACCTATGCAGGACTAAGGACTGGGTCCTTACCCTCAGTGGGAGTGATGACTTGAGAGTGGTGGGGTATAGCGACGCTAGCTTTCAGATCGACAGAGATAATTTCCGATCTCTTTCGGGATGAGTCTTTACTCTGAATGGAGGAGCAATAACTTGGAAAAGTTCCAAGCAGGAGACAGTAGCTGATTCAACTTGCGAATCATAGTACATAGCAGTAAGTGAGTCGATAAAGGAGGCAATATGGCTAAAGAACTTCATCGGAGACCTTGGAGTTGTACCAGCTATAAAGGAGCCTATGGAGATTTTCTATGAAAACAAGAGTACAGTTGACTTAGCTAAGGAAGCAAGGGATCCTGGAAGATACAGGCACATCGATAGAAAATATCACTTCATTAGACATCGAATAGAAGAAGGACTCTTCATGTCAAAGAGGGTTTCATTGGATGAGAACCCAGTAGATCCCCTCACGAAGGGACTGAGTAGGGTTAAGCATTTACAGCATGTCGGGCACATTGGGCTGAAGGATAATATTAGCTCTAATGATTAGATAGCTTTTGAAACTTGTAGTAGTTGAAATGTAATTGACATTTGATACTTAAATAAAAGGTGCTTTTTATTTACTAGTATGGTACTGTCTTGTGCAATCATTTACTATTGTTTCATTTTGCATGTTTTGACTTCAAGAATAATTATAATTATTCAAACTATCCATAGTCGATCATACGTTGGAAGTAGGTATTGAAGCAAGACTTTCATGAATTTGGGTTGTAGATTTGTTTGAATTGTATTAGACATAGCAGAGTTTGCTGCAACACTCATGAGTGCTAATAAGGTCTAAGTATTTGATTAAATCCACGCTCACTTGTATCACTTCATGAAATTTATCTCAAGTGATTGTGAGACGGTAATATCATATAAGTCTTTAAACGAAGAGATATAAGTTGTTGACTATAATTTGGTTGTGCATTGATAGTACGAAACCGCTTCAGTAACTTGATGCTATAAAACATGTTGGTGTGTACAATTTGATGAGTAGTTAGTACAAGCATATGAGTCGAAGTTTATATGTTCCTTTTAGTCCTTGGAGGATTAAAACCGATACTTTGGACCCCTTGATGATTTTGTTTTGACCTATGTACCAGGCCCGGTCAAAACCAAATTGATGTGTTAGATTAAGCTCTATGTCAAACAAATTGGAGATCGAGAAACAAACTGTTGGACAATAAGTACGACGTTGTTCCATGTATTTGTCTGGCTAATATCTTGAGAACAGAGGATTATATGACCACTTATCTTAAATGGAGCGTCTCAGTTCGACAGAGACTTTTAAGAGCTACGATTACTAGTCGGTGTTTTAAGTCGTACTTGTAGTTATAGTTATTAGACTTATCCAAGTGGGAGACTATTTGATTTATTGTCTAAGACCATAACTATAATTGGCATGTACTTGACCCGAGAGTAGCATTTGACCTTCTGAGGTCAAATCTGATTCTCTAACCTATAGATCTGACCTTCTAACACCCAAAAGTCACATAAAGGTTCAATCTTTATGTCCATTCACCACACATCAAGCTCTATTTGATGAAATAATTGTTAAAATGAAAACCTAGATTTAAAACTCCAATGGGACTGCATAAAGTTGGATGATTGGGACTCTCTAGACCTAGAAGGGTCCAGTTCTATAACTCAAACTTGCAAGAGGGGTTTGAGGCATTCAAAACCCCAAACAAAATGAAGTGATTCAAGCCCTAACTCAAAAAATGGAATCTACACAATAAGGAAGAAAAGGGGTTCGATTTGGTACCTCAGAATGAAGCTCCTTGCTTGAATAACTCATAACAACAACCTCCTCTGGTCCTTCTTGCTGGAGCTCTTCTCCTTTCTTGCAAAATCACACCAAAAAGCTCAAAATGGCTCTTTCTCTCACTCTACACACTCAAGCTCGTTAGGGTTCTCTCTTCTGGAAAGGTAGCTGCGAACGAAGGCCATAAGTGCCTTTAAATAGGGCTCACACCCAAAGATTTAGGGTTTTGCCAATGGCGCGGACTCATCGAGTCCACTCACCGACTCGTCGAGTCCGTTCATTAATCCGAGTAATCAGTCGTGATCTTACTCGATGATTTTAGGCATCAACTCGTCGAGTCCCTCTTCTTAATTCAAAAGTAAATACTTCAATTATGATACCTGGAAATCTGGATGTTACAATTCTCCCCTACTAGAATCAGACTTCTCCCTCGAAGTCTCACTCTACAAACAACTCTGGATGCTGCTCCCACATCTCTATCTCCGGCTCCCAAGTCAGCTCGGACCCTCTCCGATGTTGCTACTGGACATGAACTAGGGACACCTCTTTGTTCCTCAGAACCTTGATCTTCCAATCCAAGATTGTGATTGGCCTCTCAATGTAATCCAGGCTCGCATCCACTTGAATATCCTCTAACGGCACTACCGCCATCTCATCAGCTATACACTTCCTCAACTGGGATATGTGGAAAGTATCATGGATCTGATCCAACTCCTCGGGTAGCTCTAAACAGTATGCTACCTTGCCCACTCCGACGATCACCCTGAAAGGACCAATGTATCGGGGCCCCTGTTTGCCCCTCTTCCTCAATCGGATCGCTCCTTTCCAAGGAGATACCTTTAGGAGTA